AAAAACGAGTTTTAGCAAATTCCGAAAAATGTGACCAGATGGCCTAGTGGTATTTAGGGGGTACACTACCAATATGAAGGTCACGGGTTCAATCCCCTCTTGGGACCATTCTTTTTTGCTTTTCTCCTAGACCACTTTTAAAATTTTTCGAGCCTAAATTCAACTTTTCCAGATCCGCAAACGCAAATACACGGCCTTCCCGCCAACCTTCTACAGCAGCTTCGACATCGGAGCCATCCCATTCAACAGTCGTCGAAGTGTCCTGTTACCCTACAACGATCTTCTCTTCTCCGGAAGAAAATAACTCATGTTAGCTCCTGTTACCCCTCAAAAATCCCTCAATTCTCTGTATTCAATTAACAATAATTCGGTGATAATGAAACAATAAATTTATTATGTCAAGAAACAATTTGTACATAGATATTATTAAATCAGAATTCATCTTATTATTATTGACTCAACGCCTTCTTTCTATAGGATGGGAACAGGAATCCTAGAAGGGTGTCCACCTTCTCTGGAAGATCATCCTCTTGCTCAGCGGTCACTGGAGCTGGAGTGGTTTCTTGTTGGATTTTGGTAGTGGTAGTTGGCTCTGGAAGCTTCTCGGTGCCAGATGTGATGTCCTCGATGGAGGAGGTCATGTCCTCCGAGATCCCGTTATCGGTCTCTAGCTTCATGGAAGGGAGCTCCTCCTCCATTGGGTGGAGGTCTTCGTTTACTTGGACGAGTTGTTCCTCTTCTTTGTGTCTGGAATAGGGGAGATGTTTTTTGGGATAGAGGGGTAGAGGGGATGATAGGAGCATCTTCAGGGCCCAAGAGCGTTGGGAGATTAATAACTGGCTGGATAAGTGGCACAGCTACAGTACCGTCTATAATTATAAGAACAGCACGTGAAAATTCAAGCCATTTTGTACTGAAAAACTTGGGAGGCCAACTTTGAGCGGCCATAACTTTAGAGCCAGGTGAGATAGAAAAAAGTAGTCAACTAAAAAAATGTGTAAAAATAAAAAATCTCCAAGCCATTAGTTGACTGTTTTTTGATATCTATCACGGTTCTTCAGTTACACGCCGTGAAATAAAAGTTCACCTTTGGACAGAGGAAAGCCAGCTAAGAATGGTCCTATCTCAAAAACCGTTGAAGTTAGAAAAAAGCGACCAACTGAAGATTAATAGAGCATACAATTGTCTACATTTTTGTAGTACATGACATTTTTCCAGCTGCGATGCCTGCTGAGTTACAGCCGACAGAAGTGACGAAATTTGAAAATGATGGCATTTTTGCAAAGTTTTGTTTCCCATGTTTAAAGAAAATCAAACTAAGAAAATCATGTTCCCCTGAACCGAGACCGCCCACTACCCAGCTTGTCAATTCCCATCTAACAAACTCACTGGCTTGTGGAACACTCAATTTGGAAGATGACATCACTCGACTTGCACGCACCGCTTCTCCACATAAACCAATCACTCTGTCGTCGTTCCACACCGACGGCGACGCCCGGCGAGCAGATTAGTGAGTCGGATGTCTGGAAACTTCTTTTTTTGTTGGGGACTGGCAGACTTTGTAGTGAAAGAACCCCCTACCTTCAGGATTGTGGCCTCATTGAACCGTTGACATTGGAGGGGACACAACTCAATGGACTCTTGCTTCTCTGCGTCAAAGTGCTGGAATTATTGGGTTACGGTATCTCTGCTGCCCAGGGTTACTGTACTTACCATGAAACATCCATTATCATTTATCGCTGACAACTCCCCAAACCTTAGCATACACTCTGATTTTGAAGCTCTGGAGGACTGACGGGTACATGCGTATTCACGGGTCTCGGCTGGAAATTTTCTTTTTTTTTCTTTTTTTTTTTGAACATTCTATCAAAGAATTATTGAAAATGAAAGGTTATCAGTTAGTTAGCAGAAAATAACTAAATTTGGCAGGGTTACTGTAGCTATTTCACACACGTTAGTTAGGGAGGGGTACCTAGAACACCAAATCTGTGCCATTTTTCAGACGTCTCAAGGCGGTTTCCAATTATTTGGAATTGGGGCCATGATGGGGTGCCTGAATTCATAAATTTTGATGGAGGTAAAGTTTTTGTGAAGTTTAAAAACGACGAAAAAGAATTTGGAAGGGAATTGAACATGGGTACTGAAGGGGTTGATTGAAAATTCCACTAGACAATTTCGCCTAATTTTATGGTTTTTTATTACAGGTTTTGGGTGGCTTTGAGCATTTTTTTTTCTAGATAGGGCCTTTTGAGCATCTGGGATGGTACCCAAAACTTCAAAAACCCATGAACACATTCTGGAAACCCGGTTCCAGTTTTCCCCTATGCCTAAGATGCTCAAAACCATCTCAGAAGTATTCAAGAAAAAAAAACAAAGAAGAAATGCCGTCATGTGGAATTGAACTCGGAACTTCCAGATTGGTAGCGAACTTTGAAAAACCCACTCGGCCACATGGACACGTTTTTTCAAAAATCGCCGTTTTTAGGGTTTTTGGGAAGGTTTAGACGGTTCTAAACTCATTTTTGAAAGTCTAAAAGAATGTGAACCTCCAGTTCCTAGTTGGAGCTCCTGACCACTCAAGAGAGTATTCCGAAAAATTCAAAACATTCTTGAGTGTTGATCTCCACATTAAAAGAATAACTAAATGCTGCTTGTAAACAAAAAAAAACAAAATAATTTGTCACCATGTGGAATTGAACTCGGGACCTTCAGCTTGCTAATGTACCCTCAAAAACCCACTAGACCACCCGGACACTATTTTGCAAAACAGCGGTTTTTATGGTTTTCGAGAGGTTTTAGCTGATTCTAAGCCCATTCTAGGCCTTTTTATGAGTTTTAGGCTATTCTACCTCATTCCCTTCCCCGACTCACCCATCTCCTGCGCCTTCACTCCTAAAACCAGGAAACACCATGAAACAATTGCCGTCGTCCTGCTGATCATGATTGTCAATTAATGAGATGTGTTCTTCTTCTCTCTCCAAATAAGCATGTATAAAGGACACTTAGCCAGTCCGTTTTTAGAGGGGCGGGTGTTCTGACCGGTATCTCGTCATTTCTGGTGACCTCATTTTCTCTTGTGGAATAGATAGCCGAGAAGAAGGCTTTTGCTTATCTTTTCATTGCGTTTTTCCTTTTTTGAACCTGTTTTCGGGAGAGAGGGAGAGGGGGTTTAGAAAGTTTTTTGTTGGGCGGCAGACGGGAGGAATGAAGGAACCTGGGTTTTTTTCGGGAA